ATCAATACAAATGCCAAAGGTAATCGACGACCAACAACCTCGATGTCATAATCCAGACATCCCTGTCTTAAGACAGTCTGACCACCAATAGGTGACTCCACACAAATATGAGATGCTGACTGTGCCAACTCCAAACCCAAAACTGATGCAAACGCATACAAAATAAAAGAATGGGATGCACCCGCATCAATCAACACATTAGTAACTGAATTGCAAAACAAAAAGGTACCTCTCATTACAGAAGGATCAAGTACAAGATCTGGCCCTATAACTGTATACATACGTCCAGTAGGCCTCTGCTCAACCTGCTCACCCCTCGGAGCATAAGCCTGATGTACAGACTGAGCCGAAGAGACTCCCTGATTGGCCCTCGAGGCCTGTCTTGACTGTGCTGGCTGGTAACTCTGTGTCTGTCTCGAACCAAACGCACTAGGTGTACCACCTAACTGTAGGCAAAACCTCTTCAGGTGCCCCGCTTTCCCGCACTGATAACAAGTGAGCGACTGGCCTCTTCCCTGACTCTAGCTCTGAAAACGAGCCGAAGATGATGCTGCTCGCTGTCCTCCTCCTCTCTGAGGACAAGCTAGAGACTTGTGGCCTAACTGACCACACCTAAAACAAGTAAAATCACCCTGCCCACCTCTCCTAGAACCTGAACTCGGTATTGGAAAAGTGGACCTCGACTGAGTTCCCTGAGACTGCTGATGGTAGAAACCCCTCTGCCTCTTACTGTCTCCCTGACTATCTTGACTCCTCCTGGAGCCCCTCATCCTTTCATCTTCCGCATGCATAATAATTTCAAGATGGGCTGTAAACTGCACAAGGAACCCATAATCTCTACTCATGGAACTGGTAACTTTATACATTAGCCCAGTCCTTAACCTCTTTTCAAACTCCAAACAACGGTGCTCCTCAGTCGCCACCAACTCAAGTGAAAACCTTGACAAACTAGTAAAGGTTGCCTCAAACTCAGCCACTGGCGTGTTCAACTACAACAATTTAGAGAATTGATCTCTCAACTTCTCTCTAACCGTGGGAGGTAGAAATTTATCTTAGAAAGCCTCAACAAAAGCCTCCCAAGTTCCTCCAATGCGCCCATGAGCATACTTCCACCATTGGCCCGCACCCCCCTTCAACTGGAAAGACACCAAGGTCACTTTTAACTGATCATCCTCGATACCAAGCATCTCGAATGTCTTCACTAAAACTAGTAAAGGTTGCCTCAAACTCAGCCACTGGCGTGTTCAACTACAACAATTTAGAGAATTGATCTCTCAACTTCTCTCTAACCGTGGGAGGTAGAAATTTATCTTAGAAAGCCTCAACAAAAGCCTCCCAAGTTCCTCCAATGCGCCCATGCGCATACTTCCACCATTGACCCGCACCCCCCTTCAACTGGAAAGACACCAAGGTCACTTTTAACTGATCATCATCGATGCCAAGCATCTCGAATGTCTTCACTAACTGTTCTAGCCACTCATCTGCCTTCAATGGCTCCTTAGGATCACCCAAAAACTCATCCGGATTCGACCAGAAAAACTCCCTCTTCAAGAAAGATGGCCCTGCTTCAGCTACTTGGGCCTGGACTTGATTCTCAGTTCGAAAAATGTCCATAGATTCTCTCAATGCCCCGGCCATTTCACGGGGCTAAGGCATCCATGGCCTGTTGATTAACCGATTCAGCCACATTGGCTTGACCAACTCCTTCTTCCTATGCCGGAATATCATCCGGTAAAGGCACCTCATGCCTCCTAGGCCTACTATGCCTATTATTACCACGTCCACGTCCTGACATCCTACTAAAGGTAACAAGTATTAGCACATTTTCAAACGTGCCAAGGCTAACTCACTTGCGTTCTAATACATTAGACAATAGTAAATCACTCCACATAGACAAGTAATCACATAAACACGTACGAATTTCCTTCCTAGATAATAACCATCCCACGGCGTTGCTAGAGTTCCAATTAGAAATAGCAATGATCAAGTGCTCTTCTAATAGGACTTCCACAAACCTGTAGACTCAATCAACATCTCAGGAACTAAATTCCATACCCACATAATCACATAAGCATGTTATCACATAAACATACAATACATGCTAACGTCTCAATCAAGCAAGACAAACCCATTGTGGTACTAACCACTTCCCACGTACCCAAAGTATTCAAACCCGGTACGCTTTGATACCAAGTTGTAACGCCTCCAAAATAATACAATAAAGATAACTCATATGTGGAATAAATATGAGAAACAACATACTTTCATACATCAGAGTTCACTGTTTAACAATCAGTTAAATGCCAAGTAGGCTTACATCTTTCCAAGTCATTGCTTGGTTACACAAATTGAGTCTCACTCATTACATCTCAAACCCTTGGCTTTACGGATAACAAACATACACACATAAGGCATAATTTAGAAGCTCTTGCTTCCCGAAAGTCCATCCATGTCATTGCCTTGGAGGAAACATTTCACCTGCACCTGAAAATGATATTCCCGTATAGGGTGAGCCAACAGCCTAGTAGAGATAATCTAACACAATATATGAGGTTTAGCAAAGTTGTAAGTACCACGTGCATAAGCAATATTGATACTAAAACATCCACAAGGCCTACATATTCATATGCCACTAAGACCAAACCTCATTTCCATTCTCCTTCAATTCATTTCAAGTTCATATATGCTACTCAATTCATGAGTTAAATCTATTATCTTTCAACAACCAAAATGAGACTACAACTCAATGGTTTTCCAACTATGGAAAATACACATAAACACTTCAAACCTGGCATTTTACGGATATTTCGTCCGAAGGAATTGGCACCCATTTATATATGAAATTTCAGGTTTTTCACCCAGGACACTCTGGCCAACTTGTTTCAAAATGGAGTCCATCCCCTTTCTCCTCCCAAACAAATATACATATGCAATGTATTTATAAACATAATCACATATGGAGTACATCCCCTTTCTCCTCCCAATAAACATACATATACAATGTATTTATAAACATAATCATATATGGAGTACATCCCCTTTCTCTTCCCAATAAACATACATGTACAATGTATTTATAACATGGTCACATTCAATGACACCAACAATGGATTAGCATTAAATCACCTAATCCTCATGCAATTTCTACAACAATCATAGCTATCCTCCACCGATAGCCAATACAATTATTTCTAAAGAGTTGTTCAATCTTAAAATAAATAGTTTATTCAAAACTTCCATATGTGAGATATTACATATCCAATATCACCATTTATAACCACAACTTTCCAATTTTACATTTTCAATGTAAATCCCAATTATTTATGCAAAATAAGGATTTGATCAAATTAGGGCAAAATCTCCATTTTTTCCCAAATATCAACCCAAACACCAAAATCAGCTATTTTGGCACTACATGATCATATATTCAAGCCTCATACTCATTTACCTTATATTAATCAAAATCCCTCTTTTCATTTCACACCCAAATCCTTGATTTGTCCAAACCACACCCAAATCTCATCATCTACACACAATAGCAAATAACTAAGCTAAAAACCATATTAGAATGTATAAATTCCCTACCTCAAGAAGAGAAGACGAGCAAAACAAGGTTGAACTCCAAAAATGACGAAACCCACTTTTACTTAGATCAATACGAAGCTCTTGAAGCCCTCTACCTTATTCTCAAAGACACTAGGGTCAAGAACTCAATGGATTTAAATGAAATCTTAGAGAGAATGTGAGTTTCTAGTGAGAGAAGCTGAAGATCTGAAAATTTGGAGACTTTTAGAGAGAGAGAGAGAAAGCAGAAATGATCTGAAATGTCACTTTCACGATCTGATAAAGCATGGTCCGCTCGAGCGGAGAGTTTGACGCTCGAGCTTCAGACACATAAATTTTACCCACTCGAGCGCGATAAAGGCCGCTCGAGTGCCAAGACACAATAGAAAAGCACTACCCGCTCGAGCGCAATGAGACCTGCTCGAGCGTAGAATACACTCATCCAGTATTTTTGCAGACACAGTCCCCGCTCGAGCGTAGAGCAAAATTTCAGAAGCCCGCTTGAGCGCAAGAATGCCCGCTCGAGCAGAAGAGCCAAATTTTGGGCAACAAAGGCTTGGAAAAACAAGCAACCAACTTGTTCCAAACACACAACTACAACCCGATAACCAACATTAAGGGGAGACAAGGGAAGTAAGACATGAACCACCATCCAAATCATACAAATCCGAGTCCGGAACACCACAAGAGACGGGTCAAAACCAGGGTCGCTATATGCTGTCCCTCACAAAATACGTCCCCACATATAGTATAAATTTAAATTGTGCACTTTTTTGATCCATACATTTCAAATTCGAAGCACTTCTTTAAATATTTTTTTATGGATATGTAAGGTTGTTAATCAAGTCAGGCTTTTTTAGTCATATTAAAGTGGTTTAAAAATTGACTAACATAAATCCCGTTTCATATTTCAGGTGGTGGAAAGAATTGGACTTTGCAAAGAAAATGCCTTTTGCCAGAGACAGAATAGCGGAGTGCTATTTTTGGATTGGGAGTTTATTTTGAGCATCAATACCTACTTGCTAGAATGATGCTAACCAAAGTGATTGCCTTGACTTCCATTATTGATGACATCTATGATGTCTATGGTACTTTAGAAGAACTTGCGCTCTTCGCTAATGCAATTGAGAGGTTCAAACCTATCCATTCCTTAATGAACTTTGCATTTGATCTTATAGAAGTATCAAAATCTCTTCAATTGTTCATTATCTATCTGTATTTCAAGTGGGAAATTAACGCCATAGATCAACTTCTAGAGTACATGAAACCACGTTATCAAGCACTGCTAGATGTTTACAACATGATTGATGAAGAGATGGCCAGGAAAGGAAGATCATATCGCATCCACTACGCAAAATCTACAGTATGCCTCGTACTGATTGGTTACAAACAAATGATTTATGATTAGCAATAAGATTATATGTGAAATTTGATCAAAAAGCAATAGTACTGACGATTTAATTCAAATCTCAGATGAAAAATTTAGTTAGAGCATACATACACACGATTAGCAATAAGATTACGTCATAAGCTCTTGGCTTTACAAATAACAAACATACACACATAAAGCATAATTAAGAAGCTCTTGCTTCCCAAAAACTCCATCCACGCTATTGCCTTGGAGAAAGCATCTCATCTGTACCTGAAAATGGTATTCCCAAATAGGGTGAGTCAACAGCCCAGTAGAAATAATCTAACACAATTTATGAGGTTAAGCAAATGTATAAATACCATGTATATAAACAATACCGATATAGAAGTATTCACAAGGCCTGCATATTCATATGCCACTAAGATTAATCTTATTCCATTTTCCTTCAATTCATTTCCAATTCGTATGCACTACTCAATTCATGAGTTAAATTCTTTATCTTTCAACAACCAATATGAGATTACAACTCAATAGTTTCTCCATTTATGCAAAACACACATAAACACTTCAAACTTGTCATTTTACGGATATTTCGTCCGAAGGAATCGGCACCCATTTATATATAAAATTTTGGATCTTTCACCCAGGACACTCCGGCCAACTTGCTTTAAATGGAGTCCATTCCCTTTCTCCTCCCAAACAAATATACATACGCAATGTATTTATAAACAAAATCACATATAGAGTACATCCTCTATCTCCTCCCAATAAACATACATATAAAATGTATTTAAAAACATAATCACATATGGAGTATATCCCCTATCTCCTCCCAATAAACATACATATACAATGTATTTAAATACATTATTATATACAATGATCAATTATAGCACATATTCAATGTGTTAATCCAATCGTCATATTCAATGACATCATTCAGTTGATTAGTTTCAATTTACCTAATCATCATGCAGTTCTACAACAATCATGGCTATCCTCCACCGATAGCCCAAAACAATTATCACTAAACAGGTAAATAAATCTATCAATAGATAAATCATTACATCTTCCATAGGTGAGTGATTTATCAATCCAACTGCACCATTCAATTACATTTCCACCCAATTTCATCATTTCCAATCCAATTATATATTCCCATAATTAATTTCATTATTTTGACAAACAATTCATTTAATCCCAATTAGGGCATTTTTCCCTCTTTCTCAAATAACAGCCACAAGGCTTAATTTCATCAATTATACACAAATAACCCCATTTCAAAACCCCATATTCACAATAGAGTCCAAAACCGAGAAACTCCTCTTTTATAATTTCAAATCCAAATCTTAGGTTTGTCCAAACCACAACCAAATCTCATCATCTGTACACAATAGCAAATAACTAAGCTAAAAATCATATTAGAGTGTAGAAAATTCCTACCTCAAGTTTGAAGAAGAAACGAGTTGAAAATCTCAATTTTCAATTTTGTTGGATTTCGATCTCCACCGGTCAAAACATTACTCTCCCCAAACTCTTTACTTTGATCTTAAGAACTATGGTTTAAAACCTTGGGTTCAAAATTGAGTTGAGTTTGATGCCACCTTCTTCAACTACAAATTCCAACTAAATATGCAATGGTATAAAATTGACAAGTTTGGTCTCTATAACTTTGCTTGGCTCAATTGCACATATGAACTACCTTGAATTTCGAAATGAACCTTCATATGCCATATCCCAAATTTAGGCTCAACAATCCACTTCTACCACATGCCTAGATAGACATATCACATAACACAAATGTTGGACATGATGGGAAAGCTCGTGATAGAAATAAGTGGATGTCCCCCTTATAGCCCTACTAAATGTGAAAATTCAAAAAGGGAAAAGGAAAACATATTCAAGGTGAGGAGGAAAGGGGTAGTCAACACCAAGTCTTTCGGCAATAGGATCACTAGCAGAAAAGGACCCCAATTTGGATCCTTCATTGAGGTCTCTGTTTGGAGTAGAATCATTCGTTAAAGATGAAGAGTGTTTCCCTGATTGACCTGCACCTTGTTGATTTTTATTATTCTCTGTTGGTTTATTAGCTCTTTCCACTGACAAGACTTTCCCCAGAAAACACAACCCATATAACTGATGATGTGCTTGAGATGCCAAAGCTTCACTCTTGATAGACATGTAACAACTCTTCCCACAGGATATAATATTTAGGGAAATCCACGCCACTGGCCTGACCACAAACCTAGCAACCTCAGTGCACTACTACAAATATAGATAAAGATCACAAATTGAAAAGTGACATAAAAAATAAATATTATCACACTTAATCAAATTAAGTGTGATTAAAATATCAATCTAATTTTTTTTATCACACTTCTAATAAAAGTGAGATCTTTTTTTTTGTCAAAGTGTGATCTTTAACTATTTTTGTAGTAGTGGTGGCATTGTGAACGACTATACTTTTTGGAGTAAGTTTAGTGAGGAGCAAAACAGCAACAGTCATCACCCCAGTAGCCGCACTCACACCAGCTTCACCAAATATTGACATTGCTGCTTTTGTGACAAGTGTAGTTGCTCCAATGTTTACCACAGTTGTGCCAATAAGTATAGTTGTTAGGAACCGCGTAACATCAATGCTAAGCATTTTGAAAACACCATCCTCAGATTCCTTTTCAGTCAACTCTTGCACCAGGAGACACGTCACAAGCTTCATCCTCAGCTCATGCCGGACCAGCAAAGACATAGATTGGCGACCAGCCTCCGGCGCAGCAGCTCAGCAGCAGTGCAACACACAGCTTTCGGAGCTCCAGCAAAATGCATCGTTGGTTTGTTGGGTTGACGAGCTCTCCAGATTTTTCTTACTCACAGAGATCTGAAACTCGTCAAGTGTTTGTTTTCGCGGAGCTCGGGTGTTTGTGTGTTTGTTTTCTAATAGACCCACAAGGATTTGCCAACTCCACTAACACCTAGACTGGTTCTCCAACAACCCAAATCAGCTCATGCTTACTTGAGGAGGTGACAAAGAACCCATCGGCCAACTTGCAAGCCTGCTCAATACGGCCAGCTTTGCACAAAACATTGATCATATCTTCAAAAGCTGTTTCTGGAATGATCCCCATCGGTGCCAGCCCATAGTCAGAACTCATCTAGCCAGATCACTCACCAAGCTTTTCTCTCTCTAGTTTTGTAGACCAGACCATTGTGGATCCTTTAGACAAGAAGAATAAGAAAAGATACAAAGGAATGAGGGAAATGAGTGGAGGGCAGCCCCTCCCACGTGGTTGCCTCTCTTTACACCAAAAAAAATATATTCCATTGCCCCACACATTTTGATCCTGATCGCTCTTTCTTTTATTTCATTATATTTATATATTTTTTTTATATCTAAATTTAGGTCATCACAATAACATTAAAGTACAGAGATTTCTCAAAAGTTTGGAAGGACTGAAATACTAATTTATTTTATAATTATTAAAAATTACATGAAAATAATGAAATTTTGAAAAAATTAAGATAACAAAAGTAAAATTATTTAGATTTTGGACGATTAGAATAAAATTATATATATTTTGAAATAATCAAAATGCAAACTTCTTTTTATAAATATTCAAAATTATGTGATAAAAACCAAATTTTCACATGCTTGGAAGGGCAATGACCCCCACCCATCACCCCTGTGTCCGCCACTGGTTGGATCCTATAGAGTTATAAGAGTCTCAAATATTTTTCTAAAACAACTTTAATTTGAGGTGGTAGTTGGCCTTTCAAGTCAAGGCGTTTATTTATTTATTTTAATTTCTTTTAATAGCTTGTAAAATCCAAGAAGAAAATAAGGCAAACCCATCGTCACTAACTTTGACTCTGGACATGAGTAAAATGATGCTTGTGGGTACTAATCAGTCTACACTGAGCCCTCATCATTGTGGCTAATTCATCACTGACTTAAGGCTTTGTTTGGAATGTGGGGTTGGTTTTTTAATTTTTTTAACTTTTTAATTATTTTTGTTTGGCTCTAAAATAGTTTCGTTTGGGATGGATTTTTTTATTTTTTTACTTTTATGAAAGAAAAAATAAAATAATTATAGTTTGCATATAACAACATGTCAAAAGCCTATTTTTGTGACTGGTACTAAAAAGCCTATTTTTTATTTTTGTTACTAAAATAGCCCCAGCCAAACCCAAACCCACATGTCAAACGAGCACTAGGCCTTAATTTGGGAACTTTTTCTACTTTTTTACACGTTTTTTCAAAAAAAAAAAAACCAAAAAAATCATCTTTTAACCAACTTACCAACACAACTTTAAATTAATTCCAATTTTTTGTTTGGTTTGATTTCGATAGTTATCAAAATAAATACTTCGGTTCAGTTGGTGTTAAGAAAAAAAAATTTAATATCGATTCAACAAATTTAATTTTGTTAATTGAGAAACTAAAACTAATCATGTATTATGGTTTGTGTTATTTAGTTTTGAGAGACTTATGTGTAGGTCTTAATAGGTGAACTTATTGTCCTATATGTCTTATAATAATTAATAGCATTTCTCATCAAATATTATTAAAAACGTCACTAATTGTTAATTTTCAGCAACAATTTAAAAATTGTCACAAAAAAATATTACTAATTATAAGTTTTAGCGATAGTTTAAAAAAATCGTCACAAAAAAAATATCATTAATTTTCAACTTCAGCGATAGTTTGAAAAATTCGTCACAGAAAAACGTCACTAATTGTAAGTTTTGGCTACAATTTATAAAAATCATAAGAAAAAGAAGTCACTAATTCAATTTTTAGCGACATTTGTAAAAAATCATCACAAAAAATTATTTTTCGCAACGATTTTACTAAGACTTATTTTTAATAAGACTTGATGAGGATTAAGTCTAACTAGTAGAACCTATTGATAGTCTACCCTTTAGTTTTTCAATTTAATGTAAATGAAGGATTATTTACCAAAGATTTAAAGGATTTTATAAAATTTTCAAGAATCCAATATCAGATGTAAATGAAAAGAGATGGAAGAGAATGCTCTGTAAATGCCTCTCCTAAATTTTAATGCAAAATGTGAATATAAAAATATTTAAATATACTATTTTAGCTGATTTGGTCGATACTGGTGTAAAAAAATTTATTTCTCAAAATTAAAATAGATAAATTATAATACATTACAATATTTTGTGAAATTTGAAGAGATTCTTAATTTTATATCATATCCTCTAACTTGACGATAACACTAATTGTAGTTTGAGCAAAAAAAAGGTCACGTAGTCTCTGCTATAGCGATTTCGATTTTTCCTTTCTTTGTTTATTGTATTCCGGACTTGGTTCCGTGAGTGTGTGGTTATCGTATTCTCATTTCCCTTCTTTTCTCTCTGTATTTGAGTCTTGGGTTGTGTTGGCAGGATTGGAACAGATTGGTTATGTTTTAAAACCAAAAGTTGATGCCCAGATTTTGGCCTTCACGTTCGAGCGGAGCTTTTGACGCTCGAGTGGGCCCTTTGTTGTTGCTTCTCCGCTCGAGCGGGCGTTTTGACGCTCAAGCGTGAATATTTATCTCTTTGTATTTTGTTCTGCAGGTCATTGGACGCTCGAGCGTCCACTCTCACGCTCAAGCGGGGACCATCGACTGCAAAACTTCTGGAAGTGTGCATCCGGCGCTCGAACGACGCTTTTGACGCTCAAGCGTATGTCTGTGTTTGATGCTCGAGCAGAGAATCCCACGCTCGAGCGGACGTGTTTGTATATCAGTCCGAATTTTGACTTTTTGGATCACTTTTTCAGTACCTTTTCTCTCTCTAACTTTTCAAAACCTCCATTGGAGAGCTCCTCACTCTAAGTTTCAACTTCTCTCTAGGGTTTGATCTAGTTTGAGTGATCTTCTACCTTAGTGTCTTTGTAAAAAGTGTAGAGCTTGGCTTGGGCTACATTTCCATCCGAAAATCTTGGGTTTTGGAGCATTTCGAAATTCTTCATCTTCTCCATTTGGTCTCATCTTTTGAGGTAGGGATAACTACTCATATTTATGGTCTTTGACATAAACTTTTAGTCATTTTGTTATAATGTTGAAGTTGGGTAATTTTGGATGTTAGGGTTTCAATTATATAAAGAGGGGTTTTGTTCTTTGGGCCAATACATGTGTATTTTGGGTCTCAAATGAGGTTATTGTGTTTGTTGTTGATATTGAAACATTTTGGTCAATGTTGAGAAGGAGGGAGAAAAGCCCTAATTTTTGTTATGAATTAATTTATATAATTAATTTGGGAATGTTATGGGAATATGAAATTAAGTTGGAAATGATGAAATTAGCTTAATATGAGATGGAATGGTGGAGTCGGATTTATTAATCGCTCACTTTTGAAATTGTTAATAAATTATCTGTTGATGCATTTATTATCTGTTTAGAAATAACTGCTTTGGGTTATCGGTGGAGGATAGTCATGATTGTTGTAGATACTGCATGATGATTAGGTGAATTAAAACTAATCAGTTGAATATGTCATCGAATATGACGGTTGGAATAACACATCGAATCTGCGTATTGATTGATCGTGTATATGATAATTGTTTATATACATTGTATTGTGTGGGAGGAGATAAGGGATGTACTCCACGGTTTGGGAGGAGATAGGGGATGGACTCCTAAACTGGATATTGTTTGGGAGGAGATAGGGGATGGACTCCATTGATACAGCAAATCTGTGTATCATTTATGGAGTATGGAAGTGTTTTAATATGACATTGATACAGCAAATATGTGTATCTATTGTGAAGTATGAAAGTGTGTTGTAGGAGTCGTAATCTCATTTAAATTGTTTGGCTAGGTTCTGAGCCATGTTTATGAATTGAAGATTAGTTAAGTAAAGGAAAGTAAATTGAAACACGGACATATTTGTCATAGAATTGGATTGTGTTGTGCGTTGGTTTGTATGAGTTAAACATTTATCAAATGCTAATGTTTTAGTTATTTCTCATATTATGTTTAGCATATCTCTACTGGGCATTGGCTCACCCTATATGGGACATCATTTTCAGGTGCAGGTGATATGCCGCCTCCAAGGATGTAGCTTGGGAGGTTGTAGAAGCTGAATGCTTCCTTTTTGTGATTATTTTGTGTATTACATGTATATCAAGCCAAGGGCTTATTTTGTGTAAAGAGTTAGAACTCTATTTTTTGTTGAACCCAAGTGTTGACTTGGAAAGTTGTAAGCCTATAAGGCATTTACTTTTGTTGTCAACATGTAATATCTCTTGTAAGAATACTCTGATGTTGGGAATATAATATCTCTTTCTTGTATTATGGATGTATGATTATGGGTTTATTTTGAAGGCGTTACATCTGCTGTCGAATGTTACATGAAACAATATGGTGCATCAGAGGAAGAAGTGCTCGTTGAATTTTAAAAGCAGGTTACTAATGCGTGGAAAGACATAAATCAAGAGTGCCTTCGCCCAACAGCAGTCCCAATGCGTCTCTTGTTGTGAGTAGTCAATCTTGCACGAATGATGGATGTTTTATACAAGGACGAAGATGAATACACACATTCTGGAACCAAGCTCAAAGGTTTTGTGACCTTGGTGCTTATCGATTTAGTGCCAACATCAACATACAAAGAATAAAAGCCAATCACAAATTGGAGACATAATGTCTATGGACTGACAAGATTTTTCAAAAATAGATCCACCAGTAAATTCTATAAAATCTTATTTATACATATGTATTGTGTGTGTAGTTTTTTTTTTTTTTGGCTTATTTGATTTTTATATTTGTAACAGAACTAGCATTATTCTACAAATAATTCTCTTTGTAACAGGAAGTCCGGATTAATCTCTTTCCTGAAAGATTGTAATATGATATGAAATCATTTTTAAAAAAGGAATTTTTTGTTAGCATCATCATATTTGTACACCTCAAACTCAAAGCAATATTTGAAAATAACCGAGTTAAATAGTCATGTTGGCACCATAAATCTGCAATTTTATTAGTTATTACTTATATAATTGCAGGACATATGGCACCCTCCTACTCATTTGGAGGTTATGGAGAACAAAGTAGAGAACGTAAAGCATGAAGTGGAGGTTGAAGGAAGTTATAGAAGATCATGGAGTATGAAATGGATGAGGTGGAAGAGTGGGTGATTTTAGGTAGTTTTTTCCTACAATGTTTACCTATAAATAGCCATTCATGGCTACATTGTAAAAAGCCCATCCAAAAACTCAAATCAAAGACAATATTTCTATTTTTCTTGTCATTTATATTTCATACACTTAATTTTCTGCACTTTATTTTATGCACTTCATTTTCGAAGCATAGGAGTAAAGGTAGATTTTCTATACTTTATTTTATGTACTTCCTTTTCAAAGTATAGGAGTAAAAGTAATTAATGGTTACTTTGATTTTTCACTCAATCATTTTTCTCCGTCTCCATCCTTCTTCTTTTAATTTTTCTTTTTCCTATACTTGGCAATTTTGAAGTCCTCCTCGTTGAGGCAAAAGAACTGTCAACGTAATCGCTTGATAATTGGCTTGAATTTAATCTGTAAGGATTTTTCAATCCTTACTGGTGTTGGAAAAATGGGTTTTTGGTGACCTTAATTAAATATTAAAGTGGGCCCCAACCATCTATTGTGTTGGGTCCAAGTTGGTCTAGATACCTTGCAATGAGAGATCTTTACATGTAACAATCCACATTTATGTCTTAGTCATGTTCATGAGCATTTTTATGATTATGACTCGTTAAGCTTGCATTTGTATGTTTGTGACTTGTTTTGCCTAAGTAAGGTCCATGTCTTGTTTTGTGTTTATGTGATTTGCCTAAGTGTTGTGTGCATGTTTTGTTCCTTCCTTGCTGCCTCAAGCCTAGGTCATGTCAAGCTTAGGTCACGCCAAGCCTAAGTTATGTTAAGCCAAGATCATTCCAAGCCGAGGTCATCTTCAGTCTAGAATTATCTTGGAACCACTTTGTTTGACCTCCATCTTCGCCCTGACATATCGGCCGAGATGTCATTATCTAGGCCGAGATGTTCATCACCAAGGCCGAGATGTGTATTATCTAGGCCGAGATGTTGCCTTTGCACCTAGGTGATCTTGTCCTGGAGTGGTATGACCTAGACCGAGGTGTGGCACATCTAGGCCAAGGTGTGGCACAGCTTAGTCAAGTGTTGTCCTTCCTAGCCGAGGTCATTGTCACCTTAGTTGCCGAAGCTTTGTCCTTAGCCGATGTCATCACTTGCCGGAGTGCCTTACCGGGTAGCTTGTTAGATAGACTTTGTCATAGTCTGGTCTTGTCAATCTATCACCTTTTTTAGGAGAGCCAACCAGCCATTGCCACGTGTCCGAGCTGAGTGTTAAGTTAGCCGGCAAAGAGAGAAACCTATCATTTGTTATATCCTTGCTTTGAAGAAGAGAAAGAAGCTCTAGAAGAAGGAGAGGAGTTCTTGAGGGAGAGTAGATTTCCAAGCTTGATCCCTAGAGATCGAACCGTTAGATTCGTGTTCTAAGGTTAGATTCTTGATCTGCTCTTGTCGTTCTTCATGTTCATGTTATTGCATTACATGATTGAATATGATTTGTAAGTCATGCATTGTTTTGAAGTTCGGTTTTAGAAAGAGAAAATAGTATTCATGTGTTCTTCAAGAAAAGTCATGTTCTGATCCGAAAACTCATGTCTAGATCCATGTTTTTGTGTTTGTTTCCATATGATCTTCAAGTATGGGTACCCAGGTCCATGCTTTCAAACTCATAGCATGAAATCCCAAATTTTGTAATAAAGAAGTTATGATTTTAGCATTCATATTCTTCATGATCTTCATGTTCATGTTCTTCCTGTTCTTCACAGGTGGAAACCCAAATCTCCAGACCTCATTTCCCTAAGTGTAGTCGCGGAGATCACTCTCACCTAGACCTCACACTTAGGCCAAGCATCGTATCTCACCTTGTCCTACCTTGCATGATCACTTACACCTTTAGTTTGTCTTGTGCGCACCTCGGCATGCAGCCGCATGCCGAAGCCTAGGTAGCCACACCTCGGCCAGGGGGTGTAGGACCTCGGCAAAGACCTAGTTGGTACCCAGCATGTCTTCCTGACATGTAAAACAGTGTTTTGACTTCCAGCATGTTTTCCCGAGATCATTTGCATGTATGTAAGACTTGTTTGAGAAGTACGTTCAGTATACTTTGCCATGTGTTTGTAGGACTTGGACCTTTGGCTTGATCCCGACGTCCCAAGAACTATGTGAGTAGTATTTTTAATAAAGTTATGTTATAAAGATTTGGTAAAGCCTTGTTTCGTTTTGATAAAAGCATTTGATCAAGCATGAATGATTACCCCTATCTTTATGTATCAAGTAAGCTTTGTTTTGATGACATTCTCGGAAAGTCCTCAGTGCCAGGGGACTATAATGCAACTGCACATCTTGTTTTGAAAGTCCCTTGTGCTGGAGAACTCTAAACTTTCGCAATACTCTCGTGGTAAGGGGCTACGGACCTTTGTAACATAGGTCCCTTGTGCTGGAGGACTCTAAACTTTCGCAGTACTCTCATGTTAAGGGGCTACGGGCCTTTGTAACATAGGTCCCTTGTGCTGGAGGACTCTAAACTTTCGCAGTACTCTTGTGTTAGGGGGCTACGGGCCCTTGTAACATAGGTCCTTTGTGCTAGAGGATTCTAAACTTTTGTAGCACCCTTGTTTGAGATATCTCTCTTGTTTTGTCTTATTTTGCCACTGACGGTCTACCGCGTGGGTCTTGTAAGTCCGGAATGTCATCCCTTGTATTATGTAGATGCTATTAACATCCAAAGTAAGTAAGTAAGTAAGTTTTGTAAGATCAAGTTGATGAACTAGATTCATCCCATGTTTTGAACAAGCTATGATATGTATGTTTTGCAAAGACCTCGGGAATCATTCATTTAACCCCTTTATTACTTGTATCATTCACTAAGTATCCAAGCTCACCCTCCCTATGTATGTATGTAGGTAACAAGCAAAAAGTCGGCTACGCCGAGATGTGTGTTTTGTATGTATGTTATGTCGGCAGTGAGGATGTCGACAATCTGGAAGATTATGTCTCTTGACTTGTATTTCATATATTTTGTTTATGTCGGCTTGAGAAACCTTTTATCAAGATGTAATATGTATTTTTGTACTTCATTTTATTTGTATTCAAGTTGTAAAGCTATGTAATGTTGTATGCCATTCCATTTGACTTATGCACGGCTCTTATGGACTAGTTAGACTTGTATATATTGCTTCCGCACTTGTGAGCCCCATATATTTATACTCTGATTGTGTGTGAATTTTGTAAGTGGCCTTCGGTAATCTCGGATTACTGGCCATCACGGCACCATCCTACTAGGGGCGGTTTGGGGTCGTGACATTACACCACAAAACGGATGGCCAAACACCATTGAAAATTAAATGAGAAATTGCCTCATAAAGTTAGCTTCATGAAAGAGGTAGTGGGATTAGTGTGTATAACATGTTTGTAACTCCTGCAATATTGCAGAGGTTAATGGTGCATTAGTGACCAACCATAAAGGCTGGAGGCTCCTCCTCTCTTCCCTATACATGTATAAATTGAGACCCTCCTGTCTAGTCTCAACACATAAATTTTTGCTTCCATTTTACATGTCAGTTTACTAGAAAGTTCCTACAGTGAGAGAGTGCTACCACGGTTTTTGTTCGCTAAGCTAAACAGAGAGTGCTTCTGCCGTAGCTAGTTTTTTACAGTCATATCCTAGGAGACAAACGCCAGAATTCCTCAAGCACTCGACCCGTGAGGCGGCAAAAATCTGTTTTAAGGAAACTGCTACAGTACAGGCTTCGGTTTTCTTTCTTTACTATTTTAATCTATTGCGTATTTCTGTTGTAATTTAGTTGTAATTCTCAGCATGTGTTCTTGGTATATAATTTTGATTTATTCGTGAATCTATTTATTTAATTTCACAATTTGGACAACAAGCTTAAAATAGATTTTTTGTGTTTATCATGAAATTAGATAATTAGATTCATATGTATTGTGTAAGAATTGGTGTTCTTGGTTTTTTTTTTTTTTTTTTCTCCCCACCGAACCACCTGTATGGTTTATTTTCATAACCTGTTTAATTAGCATTTCAATTTCTTGGAATCAATAGGCTGCTATTACATATGTTGTTGCTTGTGTCAATCTTTAATTATAATAAAACATATAAATATAGATAGATCACTACTAAAATTTCAACTTTTTGCGACGGTAAAATGCCGTCGCTAATACTCCTAATGCCGTCGCAAAAAACTTTTTGCGACGGTTAATGACTTTTTGCGACGGCAAGAGGGGGGTCGCAACTGGGGGCGTTGCAAAAGAGTTTTTGCGACGGCAATGTGCCGTCGCTAATGTTTTGCGACGGCATTTTAACCTTTTGCGACGGTACTTTACAGTCGCTAATAACGTTTGAAATTTCTTGACTTTTTTGCGACGGCACTATTTTACCGTCGCTAAAAATGTTATTTGAGACGGCAAAAAATACCGTCGCTAATAGTCTTTTTTTGCAACGACAAGAACACTGTTTTTGCGACGGTATAATGCCGTCGCAAAAAGTATTTAAAATATGAAAATTTCTATTTTTTACGACAGTGTACTACCGTCGCAAAAAGTATTTAAAAAATAATAAAAAATCTATTTTAAATAATAAAATTTCTATTTTTTGCGACAATTTTAATGCCGTCGCAAAAAGTAAAACTCATAACAAAATTAATAAAAATATTAAAATTTTCTATTTTTTGCAACGGTGTAGTGCTGTCACAAAAAAGAAAAAAACAATTTGAAAAAATATTAAAATTTCTCTATAATAATTGCATAATAATATAAAAATTCCTGTATAAAAATAACAATTTCTTCATAATAAAATATTTTTCCATTCATATAATTACACATCAACAAAATTATCCCACTACATAATGTTCCATAATACATATATAATGTTTAAATACATGATTTTATTCATAATTCAAAATAACATAAACCAAAATTAAATGTTTTTCTTATCATTCTTCGTACATAACAAAAACAAAAGTTAGCCACATTCTCCACAGGCATGCATTCCACAAGAAGCACACTCCTACATGGGAAATATCTGAAAAATAAAAATAAAAATAATTAATGACAATATAATTATGTGTTAATGTTAATTACAAAAAAACATAAAAATTTAACTACTATAACATCAAATACAACATTTTTTTTTTGTTAGTCATCAAATCTCACATGGATAATTAAACATCTCAATCAAATACAAAAATAAAAATGTTGAGCTTTATGAAATTTCCTTTGCTTTAACTAGAGTAATGTGAATATAAAAATTTGGAGTTCGTGCATGTAAATTATGGTTGCTTGTGTTAAAGAACCTCAAGGTTAATATTTGATTGAAATTACTGTGTAAAAAAATTATGACACTTGCTACACTACCAAACAGATACAGACATTAAAAAAAATTCAAGATCATAATAAACAAAATAATAATTTGTAAATAAAATTTTCAATCAATAGACATTTACAAGACAAAAAATATAAAAAAAAAAGTTTATAAAATATTTTACAAAAACAAAAACAAAAACAAAAACAAAAAAAGATCAAAATATAATAAAAAATATGATATAAGCACTTTTTCCACATTGATCACTGTTACATTGAGTCGTGATTAACATCAATTATATCCATAACCGAAGATCATTTGATTGCAATCAAAACCACCATAATGAATCGTAATGCACATCACTTTGAAACATAATTAAACATCATAATAGGATGTAACTATTTATTATTTATAACTAACATTAATTTACACTAAAATTTAAATATGGTATATATAATGTGTATTATAACATGACTTTAGCTAAAGGCTTCAAATAAATTGGAACTTAGTGTGGGAAAATGTTAGGACTTGGGGGGGACATTTACAAACAAATATAGTATATAAAAATTAGTATTTTTGAAATAGATGCAGGAGCCATGGGAAAAATCCTTAAGTGCTAATTAATAAGGACTACCCCATACCTAACCTTTTATGAGTTAAATCGCTAAAGACACAAAATTTAAGATATTATGGATTTTATTTTTTTAATGTCAAGAGATACCACAGTTCAAAACATCAAAATCTACCTCAATCTATACAATGATTGATGCAAAATCAAACATTATCTAGTACTCACAGGTGTAGTGATATTAGAGACTTCACCATTTGTATATAGGTCTTCCATTAGCGCGTCCAGCCCTGAAAAAATGTAGCAATTCTTGAAATATAATATGAAAAACAAAAGAGAAAATTCAATCCATGCTAAAAAAATAAAAAATAAATAAACATTTAAAACACACCCACTCAAGATTTGGCCAATCTGAATTTTATAAAAGACCTTCAAAAACATGATAAGAAGTTAAAGTCTGTATAGTCATGGTGTGTCTAAATTCCCCATAAATAATAGGCCATTAATATGTGTGTATAACGAATTAAAGTCTGCATAGTCAGACAAAAGATGAACAAATATAGATATATATATATATCTCCTGGAAATATTTATTCCTTCCAAATTTCATAAAAAATGATTAGTTCACATCAATTCTGGAATGAGAATAGGAGTTTTCAAAGTAAAGTCACAAGCAACATTAATGTAAAACACCAACTGAAAATCTAGTCCAATGACATTGATAACCATCTTAATTTTCCACATTTTACTTTAAAAATAACTAAATAAATAAATAAATAAAAACAAAATTAAAAACACAAAAATATAGATAAAAAATCAAATACAGAAAATAACAGCCAATCCTCCGAGTCCCTGACAAACATAGAATACAAATTTTAGAAAGAGTTTCAATGACGAGACCTTCAAATTTATCACGAGTTCAGATCAAATCAATCTTCTTGTGGGCTTTAATCCGCAAAATCTAAATTAACTGCTAAGACTGTACTTAACTCTAACTTAAGATTCATTTATTATTCACAGTTCACCCAGAATTACAACTTAAAACAGTGAGTTAAATAGAGAAATGCAATTACATGAAATACCCATAATCCGGTCGTTGATCAAATGTTAAAGAGTGGCAATAATGGAAGTAAGATGCAAATTCCACTGGATGCGACTTGCATAAAACCTTTCAAAACAAATACTGTGTCAGATATAACTCTTCTGCAAACGGTTCAAAATTAAATAAGAAAGCCACCCCTGAAAGGAATACGTGAGTGTTTTTGTTCAAATGAAAGGCGTTCATGGTCTAATGGATAGGATAGAGGCCTTTTAATCATTTGGCATAGGCTCAAATCCCCTATTGGATGTAAATACAATTCATTTACATGGTGTTTTTGGATTTCTATGTCGATAAAGACATTTTGAATGATTTAAAGCAGAGAAACTTGATTAGCCCCCTTCTTTTATTTTTTAAAATATAAAAGTGATTATTTTTTTATGCTTGTTCCTTTAGTATAAAAGTTCTATTTGTTCATGAAAAGCTTCTTTCAAAAGGGCTTCTTCATTAAGCTCCTCATTCTTATTTCCAAAATAATATTTAAAAGCAGGCTCAAGGCAGTAACCAATGAATCAGTCAGGTCATCTATTAAACATTTTGAAAATGTATAATCCAGCCATTATCATCTCCTTTAAGTAATATGTTTTGGGTCTACAATTACAGGGAAAACCCAGCACGTAGTCCATGCTAAAAAATGTACTTTACTAGAGTTTTCATTGACTTGAGTATATACCCCAGATAAGTGACGAAAAGCCTGGATATAATTCATGTAGTTGACAGGAAATAAAAGTGAGTAAAAAAGCATACCTTCCGCTCAAAAAGTACAAAAGAACATAGCCAAGAGACTCCAAATCATCCCTGTTAAATTTTTGTTCTCTCTGTATGAATATAGAAGGGTAAGAGGGTATTTAGAACAAAATGGCTTGGCATTTACACACAAGCAAGGAAAAAGAGAAGTTCAATACGCCAGTGTCATTCCTGACCAGTATATAGACAAGTTAAAGGGCATCCTTGTAGACAATATTGACACTGACAGTGATGATACTGACAATATTACTTGGGTAATAAGATTCAGATACTACATCTCTGTGTCAAAGAAAAAGCAAAGAAACAGCAAAGAAAAATTCAGGAATATAGAAAAGGTCCTAACAACTACTAGGAAGAAAAACTCTAAAAAGCAGTTGTTCAATTCATATTGTCAATGCCACCAACATTGCCTGATTTGCTTTTCTAGATGTCAAAGAAGAGTATACAGCAATGACCATTACCTGATTTGCTTTTCTGCCAAGACCCATGAGGAAGTTATCCGGTTTGATGTCTCGATGCAAAAATCCTTTAGAATGCACATACTCTATTCTCGCAATCTGTAATTTCATATATCAAAAACCAAAAAAAAAGTGTAGTAATTACTACCTATTTGGCTTTAGTCACACTCATCATCTTAAGCATATAACAATTCGAGCAACAACCACAAGGGCAACCAGTAAACAAGAAAATTGCAAAATTAATTGGATATTTTGTCAAACTTGGTCATTTACAATCTACATATCACTGACCACTTGTGTCTATATACATAATACTCTTTGCAACATGTGCATTCTAAAGGAAATCAAAATGTTATTCAAACACATAAAAGCCTAAATTTTTATAACAAATTCAGCTCAAATCAATATTCTCATGGGCTTCAATCCGCAAAATCTAAATTAACTGCTCAGACCGTACTTAAAACCCTAGAGACATCGCAGGAAGAGGAGGCATAAGAGATCAAAAACCAGATCATATATATATATATATATATATATATGTAACAGATCAAAAATCTAAATTAACTATGTTGAGATGTGAGAGAGAGAGAGAGAGAGAGAGGCTTATCCGTGAAGTCGATCGGTGAGGAGTCGATCTTGCGAGGTTGATCGGTGAGGAGTTGATCTTGCGAGGTCGATCTGTGCAGACGAAAATGAGAGAGTGAGAGAGAGACTGATGAGATGAGAGAGAGAGAGAGAGAGAAGCTTACCTATGAGATCGATCGGTGCAATGAGAGAGTGAGGTCGATCGGTGAGGAGTCGATCTTGCGAGTTTGATCGGTGTGGAGTCGATCTATGCAGATGAAAATGAGAGTGAGAAAGAGACTGATGAGATGAGATGAAATGAGAGGAAATAGGAGATGAGAGGCTGTGTGCATATTAGGGTTTTTTTGGGATTTTTGGTTGAGGGGGGAAAAACCAGCGGGGATGGAAAAGGGAGAAGGGATTAGGGATTTTTGACATTGGGGATTTTGGGTATTTGGGTAGGAGAATCCGAGTGGAATGGAAAAAGGGGGGAGGATTGGAAATGTTTTTTGGAATTTTTTTTATTTTATTACAAATGAATATTTAAATAATAAAATGATTTTTTTTTTTTTTGGCAACGGAAGAATTGTTAAAAAAACTATTTTTTATTAAAATAAATTTTTTTTATAGTTGATGAATTTTATTTTTTTTACATTTAGTAAGGTTGAAAATTTATTTGTTTCATATTTATTTTAATGAAATAAAATTTTTTTTTTTTTTTATTTGGTAGAAGTAGGGATAATATTTTCCATTAAAATAAAGTTTTTTTTGTGGTCAATGATTTTTTTGTGACTCATTTTTTTTTTTTATACTAAAAATCAAAAACTAATTTTTTGTGGTAGATGATAGAAATGCAGTAGTGGTGAAAGTGGTGGATAAGAGGTGATAGTGGTGGTGGTAGTGATGGTGAATGAGATATAGTGGTGAAGTTGTAGTAGTGGTAGAGGAGATAGAATAGCGGTGGTAGATGAGAGGTAATGTAGTAGTAGTGGTGGTAGTGGAGTGGTAGCGATGATGGTAGTAATGATAGTTGGTAGAGATGGAGTGACAATAGTGTAGTAGTGGAATGGCATTTGCAGTAGTGGTGAATATGGTACAGAAGATGGGCGGTGAGAGAGAGATAAGTGAGAGACAGATAGAGAAGAGATAAAGAGAGAGAGAGAGAAGAGAAAAAAAAACAGACAGAGACAAAAGTGATGAGCGAGAGAGAGACAAAGTGGTCGCTAAAAGTGCATTTTTCTATAGTGGATCGATAAATCGAAAGGGAGCTCAGTAAATAGAGAAGACGGGAGTGAGAGAGTGAGCAACGCAAACAGAGAAAAAGATAGAGAGTAAGAGACAGAAAAAGAGATAGAGAGAGAAGAGAAATGAACGAGAGAGATAGAGAGAAGAGAGATGAACGAAAGAGACAGAGAGAGAAAAAGAGATGAGAGAAGAGATAGATAAATAGGAATATGAGAAGGAGAGAGTGAGAGAGTGAGCAAGGCGAACATAATGAGGGAGAAATAGACAAATAGACAAGCATACAGGAGAGAGAGATGAGTGATGAGTGAGAGAGAGTGAAGGAGTAGAAGAGATAAACAGAAAAAGAGACAGGAGAGAGAGAGAATGATAGAAGAAAAGAGAGAGAAACAAGAGATGAGCGAAGATAGACAAAAAGAAAGAAATAGAGCGAAAAGAGATGAGCGAAGAGAGGGGACACAGAAAAAGAGAGATGGGCGAGAGAGATAGAGAGAGATATAAATAAGGAGAGAGAAAAAAAAATGAGAGAGATGAAGAGAAGAAAGATGAGCGAGAGAGATAAAGAGAGAAGACATAAGAGATAGAGAGAAGAAAGATATGCGAGAGACACAGAGAGAAAATGAGAGAAGATACACAGACAGACAGAGAAAGAAGAGTGATGAGTGAAAGAATAAAGAGAACAGAGAGAGATAAATACAGAGAGACAGGAAGATGAAAAAATGAATGAAAAGAGATGTTATATTAAAAGAGTAAGACGACATCGTTTTTTTTGTGACAGAAAATACCATTGAATTTATTCAAATTATTTTGTGACTGTATATATATGAAGCTGTCTCAAAACCACAATCACTATGTTAGGTTAAGGTTTTTCAAAAACTCTTTTGAGAAAATTATACTTTCTTGTTTTCCGTGTTATATATTTTTACTGAATTTTTTTAATATTTAATTTTTTAATTTTTAGACACACCTAACATAAATACACCTAAAAAGTAAAAAAATCTTTTAAAAATTCACTAAATACCAAAAATACAAAAGAAAATACAATAATTCAATACATTTTTTTTATATTGTATGTATTTATTAATTTTTAAAAAATATTTTTTCATAATTTTTTTTTTAGATACATTTAAGTAAAGTGCATCTAAAAAAATATTTAAAAATTTAAAAATATTCACTTAAAAAAAAAACCACAAAAGTGACTTTTGCGACGGTAAAAAATACCGTCTCAAAAATTCAGAGTATTTGCGACGGTAAAAAATACCGTCTCAAAAAACAGAGTATTTGCGACGGTAGAAAAATACCGTCTCAAAAAAGAAGAGTACTTGCGACGGCAGAAAATACCGTCGCAAATACTCTCTTTTTTTGCGACGGTATTTTCTTACCGTCGCAAATACTCTGTTTTTTGAGACGGCATTTTTTACGTCGCAAATACTCAATTTTTTGAGACGGTATTTTTACCGTCGCAAAAAGTCAACTTTTTGCGACGGCAAATGTGCCGTCGCAAAAAGTTCCGTCTCATAAGCCCACTTTTCTTGTAGTATTATTTAAAAAGTGTGATTAAAAAGTAGTAGTGTATATATAATCACACTTTAATTAGAAGGTGTGATTAAAAATATATATATATAATCACACTTAATTGAAAAGTGACATAAAAAATAAATATTATCACACTTAATCAAATTAAGTGTGATTAAAATATCAATCTAATTTTTTTTATCACACTTCTAATAAAAGTGAGATCTTTTTTTTTGTCAAAGTGTGATCTTTAACTATTTTTGTAGTAGTGGTGGCATTGTGAACGACTATACTTTTTGGAGTAAGTTTAGTGAGGAGCAAAACAGCAACAGTCATCACCCCAGTAGCCGCACTCACACCAGCTTCACCAAATATTGACATTGCTGCTTTTGTGACAAGTGTAGTTGCTCCAATGTTTACCACAGTTGTGCCAATAAGTATAGTTGTTAGGAACCGCGTAACATCAATGCTAAGCATTTTGAAAACACCATCCTCAGATTCCTTTTCAGTCAACTCTTGCACCAGGAGACACGTCACAAGCTTCATCCTCAGCTCATGCCGGACCAGCAAAGACACAGATTGTCTACCAACCTCCGGCGCAGCAGCTCAGCAGCAGTGCAACACACAGCTTTCGGAGCTCCAGCAAAATGCATCGTTGGTTCGTTGGGTTGACGAGCTCTCCAGATTTTTCTCACTCACAAAGATCCGAAACTCGACGAGTGTTTGTTTTCGCGGAGCTCGGGTGTTTGTGTGTTTGTTTTCTAATAGATCCACAAGGATTTGCCAACTCCACTAACACCTAGACTGGTTCTCCAACAACTCAAATCAGCTCATGCTTACATGAGGAGGTGGCGGAGAACCCATCGGCCAACTTGCAAGCCTGCTCAATACGGCCAGCTTTGCACAAAACATTGATCATATCTTCAAAAGTTGTTTCTGGAATGATCCCATAGGTGCCAGCCCATAGTCAGAACTCATCTACCCAGATCACTCACCAAGCTTTCCTCTCTCTAGTTTTGTAGACCAGACCATTGTGGATGCTTCAGACAAGAAGAATAAGAAAAGATTAAAAAAATATATATTCCATTGCCCCACACATTTTTATCCTGATCTCTCTATCTTTCTTTTATTTTATTTTATTATGTTTATATTTTTTTTTATACCTAAATTTAGGTCATCACAATAACATTAAAGTACGGAGATTTTTCAAAAGTTTGGAGTGACTAAAATATTAATTTATTTTATAATTATTTAAAATTACATGAAAATAATGAAATTTTAAAAAATTTAGGATAGCAGAAGTAAAATTATTTAAATTTTGGACGATTAGAATAAAATTATATATATTTTATAAATATTCAAAATTATATGATAAAAAGCAAATTTTCACAAGTTTGGAAGGGCAATGACCCCACCCATCACCCCTGTGTCAGACACTGGTTGGATCCTATATAGTTATAAGAGTCTCAAATATTTTTCTAAAACAACTTTTATTTGAGGTGGTAGTTGGCCTTTCAAGTCAAGGCGTTTATTTATTTATTTTAATTTCTTTTAATAGCTTGTAAAATCCAAGAAGAAAATAAGGCAAACCCATCGTCACTAACTTCGACTCTGAACATGAGCAAAATTATGCTTGTGGTTACTAATCAGTCTACAGTGAGCCCTCATCATTGTGGCTAATTCATTACTGACTTAAGGCTTTGTTTGGGATGTGGGGTTGGCTTTTTAATTTTTTAAACTTTTTAATTATTTTAGTTTGGCTCTAAAATAGCCTCATTTGGGATGGATTTTTTTTTCTTTTTTTACTTTTATGAGAAAAAAAATAAAATGATTATAATTTGGATATAACAACTTCTAGTCTGATACTAAAAAGCCTATTTTTTTATTTTTGTGACTAAAATAGCCCCAGCCTAACCCAAACCCACATGTCAAACGAGCACTAGGGCTTAATTTGGGAACTTTCTCTACTTTTTTACACATTTTTTCAAAAAAAAAAACCAAAAAAAAATCAAAAAAATCATCTTTTAACCAACTTACCAAAACAACTTTAAATTAATTCCAATTTTTTGTTTGGTTTGATTTCGATAGTTATCAGAATAAGTACTTTGGTTCATTTGGTGTTAAGAAAAAAAATTTAATATCGATTCAAAAAATTTAATTTTGTTAATTGAGAAACTAAAACTAATCATGTATTATGGTTTGTGTTATTTAGTTTTGAGAGACTCATGTGTAGGTTTTAATAGATGAACTTATTATCCTATAGGTCTTATAATAATTAATAACATTTTTCATCAAATATTATTATAAACGTCACTAATTGTTAATTTTCAGCGACAATTTAAAAATTGTCACAAAAAAATATTACTAATTATAAGTTTTAGCGATAGTTTAAAAAAATCGTCACAAAAAAATGTCAATTTTCAACTTCAGCGATAGTTTGAAAAATTCGTCACAGAAAAACGTCACTAATTGTAAGTTTTAGCTACAATTTATAAAAATCATAAGAAAAAGAAGTCACTAATTCAATTTTTAGCGACATTTGTAAAAAATCATCATAAAAAATTA